TCTCACCAGCCCTTTAATTGACTTATTTGTACATGCTTGCTGTAAACAATGATTATGTCCACTATAGGAGATTGGTACATGTACCTAGCACATTGCAATTCCTTATGCCACCCCCCTCCCAAGAAAAAACTACCTTACATCTCTTTAGGGAACAGGGGTCCTGCCCCTTAGCTCAGTTCTTTAAGTGCTGCTTCAACAAAGCAGTCAGGCTCAGGTTGCTGTGGTTCGATCCCCACAATTCAAGCCAGCCAAACCTGCCCTAAAGGCATTCGGAGCAAAACAAAAAAAAAAAAAAAATCCTTTAGGGAACAGAAAATTCTTATAAGGCATTGAAATTTTAGAAACTGATAACCTTAGGTAAAAAGTAAAAGTATCCACTGCATGTCAGTGTTGGACAGTAGGTAACCTTCCTGCTCTTGGTAACCTTCCTCTTGACTGCCCTTGTTGCTGCTCCAGGGAGCCACTCATGAAGACTGCTGTCTGGAAGAACTTCTGGAGCAGTGGACATTGCTGTCTGCCATCCGTACATTGGCCACCAGTCTCATGGCTCATGAGCATGGGGAATGTAATTAATGTGACTGCTTTTTAATAGTGTTAATTTAAATGATCAGGGGCCAGCACCTGCACTCAGAGATCTAAGCACCTTAGGCAAGCACAAGGACCACAGTTTCAATCCCTAGCACCACATGCCACACCAGCCCTGCTCATAGAGCAGGCTGAGCTGGCCACAAAAAAATAACCCCCCACACAATAATGAATTTATTTTTTCACAGCTGATTAATAGGACAGTCTTGATAAGCAATACATTGTACATTGTTATCTTTTTAGTGGTTATCCATAATACAAGAAGGAGACAGGATATTCTGTCCAAGCACTGTTAGTACACCTCTTATTGAATTAAGCAAAAGTAGCTGTAAATTTATCCTAATTATTTTGTATATATAAATACAAAATGATCTTTCATTTGTATCCTTTTTTTTATTGTCTGTCAGAGGTGAATATTCTATTGGCATCTAAATGCTATAGGTATTTGAATTCAACTAAATCTAACACTGCCTAGCAGTCTATAATACTAGTGGGTTATCCTCAGAAGTTACTGATTTGAGCCTTTTACAGCTCATCGAATTAATATGGCTTTGCTTTATATACCTCGTTTTTATTTCTGCTGGATGCTTAAGACCAAGATAAAGCAAGACCTATATAACAAGAAATGTAACTTTTGTATCTGATAAGGTCAGCCAAGTACTCTCAGGATTTATCCTGTAGTCCTGTACCCCACTTTGTACATCCTTTTGTCAGTGTCAGACATGAGGATGAGTCACGGCCATTGCTTGACCAATTTGCTCTCTGTGAAAGCCTGAGAGAATGTTTTCTTCTCTCCATGTGACTCTCCCCAGGCTCACTGTACTTCATCGAACACATTCCTCTGTGGCTCCATAATCTTGATCAAAAAATTTGGGGCACAACTGAGTTACATGATGTTACAGTAGAGGTTCTCCTACGTCCTGAATCTTCACTGACTTTGAAAGGCTAGGGCCAAAATGTTGGCTGACCTTGCGGCCCTTCCTTTTCTCCAATTTTGAACTGCTAACTTAGGTTGTTAACCCTCCAAAAGAGAAGCTAATTAACCTGCAATATATGCAGTTTGGTTTACCCTATCTGTCTAAATGTCAAACATTTTGGCATATCATGGAATAGGTATTTTCCATCGAATATTGATATATTGAACTTTAAGTCCTTACAGAATATGAAGGAAAAATAATTTTATAAAAGTAGATATAAACATTTACATATTTTTACAAAGAAATTTAGAAACAACCATATACGGAATTGTAAGGCCTTATACTAAGGAGACAATATGATATTTACAGATGTGGGTCTGGTTTATTTCACTAATAAGTATATCTTCAAGTGGCATCCACTTAAATATGAAGGCTTTGAGTTTATCATTCTTTATAGCTGAGTAGTACTCCATTATATAAAAGTACCACATCTTTTTCAGCCATTCCACATGTGACAGACATCTTGGTTGTTTCCAAGATCTGGCTATCACAAATTGTGCTGCTATAAATATAGGTATGCATATATCACTATGATATGATGCTTTCAGTTCCTCCGGAAAGATTCCCAGTAGAGGAATAGCTGGTTTAAATGGGATTTCCAGTTCTAGTTTTCTAAGGAGTCTCCACACTGATTTCCATAACCGTGGCACCAGTCTACACTCCCACCAGCAG